CACCGATTATGAATTTGATGTCATATTTTCAAAATTCAAAATGGCGGATAGATTCTTAAAAACTGCTAGAAATTCGTTTGATAATATAAACTTTGGGGTTTTTTTGAGTCGCTAATACTAAAATTTGTTATCTATATTTATAAAAATCCAAAATAGCGGATCCAATATGGCGAAACATTTGTGAAAAAATTGTCTAGTTTCACTGGAAATTTGTTACTCGGAGTTTTTTGAGGTCGCTGATTATTATAAATTTGGTGTCAGTTTTTAAAAATTCAAAATGGCGGATCCATTATAGCAAAATATTTCTTAAAATTTGATCAAATTCGCTTGAAATTTGTTATTTGGGGGTTTTTAAGATGGCTGATTATGAATTTGATATCAGTTTTACAAAAAATTCAAAATGTCAGATTCAATATGGCGAAATATTTGTAAAAAATTTGATTACTCGGAGGTTTTTGTTGTCGCTGATTATAAATTTGGTGTCAGTTTTAAAAAATTCAAAATGACGGATCCAATATGGCGAAATATTTGTTAAAATTTTAACACTTTCGCTTAAAAATTATTATTCTGAGACATTTCAGATCCCTGATTGCGAAGTATTAAATATTGATTGATATTCCATATTGGATCCGACATTTTGAAAATCTGACATCGAATTCATAATCAGTATTCTTTTTCCCATTGCAGTCAACGAAAATAGTAAAAATCGATTTTTTGGTCGTAAAAAAAAACCTTTTTTCCCAGACGCGCAGCCACATTTATGACGCATATAATTCTAACGGTTTTTTAACATCTTTAATATTCCTTCCATTTGAGTTACATTGAGTTTGAAAAAAGAGTCACTTGAGCTATTAACAATTGGAATTTGTCTCTCCCCAGTGTATATAGTGACAAAAAGTAACAGATCATCTCATTATTCTTGAAGGACTTGGCATGCTTTATCATGTGTATATATATATACCTACGTTATGGATCAACGTGTTTAATATAATTACTTGACGAATTCGTTTTGTATAGTGCATGTATGTATGTGTATGAAGTTTCATGTTTCACATATATAAGCGGGGTAGTTTTCTCTCCCGAGGGAGGGAAGGTTGTGGTGCGTTTGCAAGATTGTTCCGATATATAGACGAATTCAGGTGCGAGGAGGGGTAAAGGAATGGCAAAGAATGGCAGCATTGTACGCTGATAGATGTGTCAAATACGGGGTGCATTGTGTCTACCAGAGATAAATGGAGCTACAGTGAAAAAGCAAAACACGCACCTTTGTTGCCTAGTCTACTCATCGAAGGTAATTTAGCGTCTGTCCATATATTTTTGCCCCCGTGTGCGAGCACGTATATACATATATATATATATATAGAACTTGACATGGTCTGCCTTGATATTATGTTCCAAGCGGCGCAATACATGGGAACGAATCCCCTTTTAAAGAACCTTTCACAAATTGAGACAGGACTTGTATATATATGGGAAAATCCACGAAACTTTTAACATTTAAGAAAAAAAAATTTCTTTTTTTTTTAATTTGCAGGCATATTGATGTCACTTTGCGTATACACGTTTAAGTACATTTTAGCACTACAAATTCATATGCGTGATTCATTTTTAGCTCACGCCGTCAATGGTTAACTCTTCAAACTCTTTAATGTTAATAAATGACATATAAAATTGAAAAATTCAACTTTTTTTATTTTTGATATCGGAGTGGTTTTCAAAGTATTTTCATCCTCTGAACACGATTCTGGCACCCAAATTTGCTTATCACGTCAGGATTTTGAAAAAAGAGGGGATAAATACTCCAAAAAAGTGTTTTCAGCATATTTTTAACTTTGATAAAATTTGTTTCACTCAAAATCCTTAAGCGGCGTTTTTGTGTTTAAATATATGTATGAAAATTTTTCGATCACATACCATAGATTGACCTGTTTAAAGCAAAAATGCATTTGTGCCTTTCAAAAATGTATAAATTTAAATGAAATCACGATTTTTATTATCATCTTTAAATTGTTGCCACAGAAATACAATTAGAGAGGCCCATCATTGAAAAAGGTCTTAAAATTTTTGTTTTTTCATCACCTTTTAAGAAATGCATTAAACTTTTATTTTTATCCAACGTCGTAATAGATATAGACAAATAATTAATAAAATTAAATAATAGACGTTCAATTGAATTTTTTTAAAAAGTGCTATCACTCAATCAAACCTTCGTATTTTTAGTTTTAGTGGTGGCATACTAATGGAATAGTGAAAATTTTTTGACAAAATATGTCTGTTAGATATTTCCATAGTATATAGCTGAAGTGATATTTTACACGCCGCAAAAATAAAAACGTTAAGAATATAAACTTTTTCAAGAAATTCAAATGAAATTTAAGCATTTTTTCACTTTTTAACTTATAAAACTAATTGTCAAATAAATATTTTGTTCTAATACTGTAAATAATTGTTTTTTTGTATATAATTTAGAAAAAAAAAAAAAATGATACCCAAAGTTTTAATATAAAATAATTCAGATTTTTAAGTGTTCGATTCGAGAATCACAAAAGTTCAAAGTTTCGTGGATTTGCATATATAAATATATATATATAGGTATATATGTTTCAAAATTAATTCAAATTTTCAAAATAATCGCAGATTTGTAATCAGCGATCACAAAAAGCTCTGAGTAATGAATTTCAAGTGAAATACTTGAATTTTTAATAAATTTTTCCGCCATATTAGATCCGCCATTTTGAATTTTAAAAATCGGACAAGTGCGAGTTACACTCGCATTAAAACCGAGAGTTCCGTATCCTTAAACGTAAAATTTAAGGGGGTTAAAGTGTGAAGGCCGATGTAAAAATTCCAATTTTGATTAATTTTTTCTGTAATGTGAGCATGAAAATACATAGATTGCCACATACACTGCAAAAAGAAGTATCTTATTTTTAAGATGTTTTTTATAACTTGCTTCTAAGTTATTTAAAACAACTTAAAATGCATTAGTTTCTTAAGATATAAGATGGATAGGAAGATACTTTTGGTAACTCGCTTCTAATGCATCTTATAATAAGATACTTCTTTTTACAGTGTAGACAGAAAATTATCAGTTTTTTCTTGAAAACGCTATGATAATCAACTTCAATCCTACTCACTATATATTTTTTTGTAATCTACACGTAAAAATGTATAAATTTGAAGCCCTTTAGATAAAATTTTCGTCTTTTTTTTATTCGAAAAATTCATGATTTTTTCTAAAAATATGAGTTTTCCTTAAAAACAATATGATCATCAACTTCAATAGTGCTCGCTATATTTTTCCTGTAATCTGCACGCAAAAATACGCATGTATATATATATATTTTATAAAATTATTTATTTTTACATTTTTACGTGTATGCGCTTTTAATATTTTTAAAGTGTTTGTACTATTTACAAGAAAAAAAAAATTAAGAAAAAATTGAACTTTAAAAAATATTACTTGTCTATGAGAAATATAAGAATAAGTATACGAATATATATTTTATTATAGGATGTTGCTAAATATTAATCCTCAAACTGGACATAAAAGAGAAAGGAAAAATAAAACCAAAAAAGCTGTAGAAGATTCAAAAGTTATGACTTTAATCTCAAATATTGTAAATTATAATTCATAAGTCTGCGATTTGATGAAATGTTTAAGTTTAATTATTTTAGCTTCGAATTACAAAATATACAATATTTTCAATAAAATTTTTTAAAGTAACAAAATTATTTATTGCCAATTATTTCGGAAAAAATTCCAAAAAAGATTGGACGAAAATCATTCTTATGAGTAGGTACAATTTCCTTTCACTGTGACAAAATTCCGAATGAATATTTGGAAAAATTCCCTACTAGTCCAGAATAATATCCAACTTCATTGTCGGATTAATTACCTTTTATTTCGGAAAAATTTCCAACTTAAAGGCAGGAAACGTTACCACAATAATTTGGAAATAATACCAATAACTTATTTGGAAAAATTTCCATATATTCGGAAAAATCTCCAACTTAATAGCAGGAAACATTTCTAAAATAATTTGGAAATAGTACCAATTGCTTACTCGGAAAAATTTCCGAAATTCGGAAGAAGTTCCAACTTAATGGCTGGAAAAATTTCCGAAATAATTTGGAAATAATACCAACAACTTATTCGGAAAAGTATCCACCCCATAGGGTTATGTGCTGTCCGACTTTTTTCGGAAAAAATTCCGAATAACTTTTTACAGTGTACCAAATATGAATTGTCTTGGTTAAATAGTGTGTGCGCTATGAGGATTAAACGCTCTTTTTCAAAATTTGATTTTTTGTTGACAACACTATGTAAATTGATCCGAATCAAATTCGCTATATATTTTTCATTTAATTTTCACGTAAAAATACATAAGTGAACCAAATTTGAGCTCTCTATGTAAAAATATGTGTCCACCAGGGGGGTACATAGTCATTTTTAGGGGTTTTTTTCGTAAAAATTCATGGTTTTTCTTTGACAACGCAATGATAATCAATTTCTATGAGATTCGCGCTTCACTAGTCTCATTAATAGGGTTCCCTTTTCGGGTACAGAACCATTTAAAACACACTGGATTTAAAATCAGCGACTCTGAAAACCCCCGAGTAAAGATTATTTCAAAAATTTTAAAAATCGAAAATTTGTTCAATAATACAAAATTTATTTTGACCTATAGCTCAAAATCCCTTTGTCCAATCAAAAATTCTCTCATATACATTTTTTGTGTTACATTTTTACTGTGTTAAGACTTTGGCGGTATTTCCGAACGATATTATCTCTTAAATTTTAAAAATGAAATTTTTTTATGATAAAAGTTTTAAGTAATGATTTTTACGGGATAAACATGCACCTCATAAAAATATAAAAATTTAAAGATGAATGGAACAAAATTTATTGAAAAGTCTTTTTATTCATATTATTTTACTTAAAAAAAAAACTGCAAAAATAAACCAGATAATATATTGTAATAAAATTAATGTTTCAGTGCAGCCCATGATGTTACAGTGCTACTACTATGAATCATAATTGAAGGTAAGTTTTCTTATTTATTTTCTATATATGCATAGAAGAAGGTTACGAATTTTTTGCTACCATATAGTAAATTGTACTCGTTGATATAGGGACAGCGACATAGCAAAAATTTTCTCTGTTATAGCAAAATTTTTGTAGTTTCTGTAGCAAATTTTGTCAGAAAAAATTAGTTTGCTATTGCAGTGTAAATCCATTTCTTTTCATATACAGCTCAAAAATGCATTACACCTCGCATTACACTATAAAAATCTTTCCAGTGTCTTTAAAAAACCCAATTTTCTCTTATCAATAATATTTAAAAATAAATCTTATGTAAAATATAATATAAACCAAAATTAACATGTTAAATAGTTTGAAATGAATTTCAATTCATAATCATCAAAATCTACAATAGATATATAATAAAAACACGATACAAATCTAGTTTAGAGGACAACAATAATAAAATAGACATTTTTACATATTGCTGTATAATTTTTCAACTATCTTCAATGAAAAATCCGTTGAATAACATGTTGAATTTTCAAAAAAAAAAACGACTACTCCGGTGGTCCAAACTTCCTGTGTCATTATAATAGGTATGAAAACACGACGGGCTGTCCAGAGGAGAAAACACATTTTTGGAAAAGGCAAAAAGACTATATATATATATATATATATATGTGTGTATAGTGTACATAACACTAAAGGCGCAAAATACATTTTTAGAATGAAAGATGCGCGCATGGTCTTGAAACGTGAAGATGTCCTTCCACTTTAAGCAATGTCGCGGTTGGACGGCGAGAATTCTCCCGCTGTGTCTAAAAGACACACTTGCCGGATATAAATCATTCTACATGCATTAAAAGGCAGCAAAATAAATGAAGCGCTATACTAGCGTTATATAGGCCGAGACAAATAGGTCTTTTTTACATTTCCTCAACACACACACACTCTCTCTCTCTCATAATACTAAATTCGACATCTTTTTTTCTTCATTCTTTTATTCTATTTTTTCTGCAAATATTTTTTTCTCCTTCGACAATATTTTTTCATCTTTTAATAGTACTAGCTGTGAAGAAATTGACCCAATTTGTCCAATTTGAAATGTGAATTTTGACTAGGGCTTGGCCAGTTTTCCTTGTTTGAAAAAAATTTAAATAGAAACTAATTTTTAAAATTATTTTTTATAAACTAGTTGCTGATAACTAGAAGAAATTTTTTAATGTGTAATTTTATATTTTAGGAATTTGATCAGAATTATTAATTATTAGATTTGAAATAGGGCTCTGGTTAGGATTTCACCAGTTTTTCTAGTTTAAAAATGTAATAAACCTTAGCGAAAAGTGGTCTTGATAGAGCCTTTTTCGAATCAATTTCCATACTTAGGGAAAAACTAGTCAGGGCCTTTTTAGTTTTCCTATTAATTGACCCGAGGTATTGATACAATCAATACAATGATTCGCTTTTGTAATTAATAACTTTCTTATAAAAACTATTTTTGAAAACTGGGCTAACATCTAGTGAATACGCTATTTGGGGATTTGGTCGGGAATTCTAGTCAGACCCCTAAAATAAAAATATAATTAAAACTCTCGTACTAAGATTCCTTTTAGTCATTAATAGCGTTTACAAAAAATAATTTTATAAACAGATTACTTACATTTTTTCAAACCAGAAAAACTGGTGACGCCCTGGTCAATTCCCTATTTGAAAAAGGGCAAAGTAACGTAATTTCTACACAGGAAACTAAGTATCAAAATTTTTTTTTTTTTTAAGAAAATTATCAATACTAAAACGAATTATTGTAAACTTGTATTTTAATCATTTTATATAATAGGGATGAGACTAGAATAGTAACAGAAATTCTGTCGAGGCTCCAACCAGTTTTTTCTTAACTAGGACACAGCTTCAAACTAATTAGCGTCCAATAATTCTCTTTCGAATAAAAACAGATACTTATTATGGGCGCTAATTAGTTTCTCCAACGATGGCCAAATTGGAAATAGGGAAAACTGGAGAATACCCCATTAGGCCCACATTTCAATTTCTGCCCGATTATCTCCTCTTTTTTTTTAATCAATAAAAAGTTTTACTGCACAATGGGGCAAAAAATTGTTCATAGAATTTCTCTGACTTCACTTCTTCATTGTTCTCCTTTCGAGATAATATATATAATAAACCATATGTGTGAATAAAGTCAATCATTACCCTTGACGGATGTATCCGGTAAATTCTTCTTCCACGTTGTATAGGCATTTTCACGCATTTAGTTTCATTGTTATATTGTCTGACCTCGACTATATAGTCTCCAATTTTGCTCCATAGTGTGACTCTCTCTCTCTCTCTCTCTCTCTCTCTCTCTCTCTCTCTCTCTCTCTCTCTATACATATATATATATTGGACTCTTTTGCAAAGTGCGCGCATGGTACCCCATAAATCTTCACCCTGTTTTTACGTGTTTGACTTAAAACGACTCCGTCCATTATTATTAGGCCAGGGAGACCTGTTTCTACGAGAATTTCGTAAAACCGCACACACCATAAATGCCTCTCGTCGTTTCGTTTCGTTTCGAAATTCGAGGTTAAATGAAAAATTGACTTCCAACAGCGAGCGAACATTGCTGGAGATCAATCTCAAAAAGTTCTGACACGCGACGCGTTCTTTGTTCACTTGGCAAAACTCATGGTTTGAAAAAAAAGAGAAAAATTTCACAAAGCTTTAAGCCAGAGAGTAAACACTTTCGTAGAAAGACTGTAAAACCTATTTCCGCTTTATGTGTATACCCGGCACACCATTAAATTACTTCAAAGGCCGCACGAATTATTTGCTATATAGCTTCATGGAAAAAATTTCAAACTGTGAAATTATATATATGGTAATGATTTTACATTAGTTGGAAAAAAATATTTTAGAACCAAAATAAAATCTTTTTTTTTTTTTTTTGCTATAAAGCATTTAATTAGTATTTATATTTATTATTCTTCCCTGCATCTATAGAGTTCCTAAGCCCCGCGCATTATCCACAGCGCCCCCTTTTTTTCGCATCGTAAAAATTACAAGACTCAATTTTTATTATTCCCTAGCTGGTTAATCCTATTATATAGGTCCACAATTTAATCTTTAAGCTTCGAATATCCGCGGAATGCAATGATATAATTCAAGCACCAAATGGTTCGAAAAGACGTGTATGTCATCTATAACTATATATATATATATATGGTCAGAGGAATTGAAACGAACCTCACCCCTTCCCCCCCCGTGGGCACAGCGTGAAGCACAGGTCGACAAATCATATAGCTGTCTAAAATGGGTAGACGTGAAAAACTACCGTGGCTTCCGTAGAGGAGTACCTACCTACTAATAACAGATGCCAACATCAAACGCAATTCCGGTGAAATCATTATACAACAGCACACATACACATAACCATAGTGCATTTAAAGCTACTCACGAAATTTTTTTCTCCCCTATATTCATTTTCTCTCTCTCACTCTCTCGGGCATTGTGCAGTATATATATATACACCCCTATAACGCCCCAAGTAATATTATACATTGACAGTAATTGCTGCTTTGATCAAGGTCACGAGTTACCATCACGCTACCCCGTGATGTTGGAAACTATATAAATTTCGATCCTTTCTTTCTAACTCACATACTGGGATACGATGCAACGATTCTAATCCGTATTATATTAAAGAAACCTGATTAGGAACTGTGATTAACGATTTTTGGCATGCGCAGTGTTCATTTAGTTATGGTAAAGGTTACTAATTTTAATTTTTGTTTTATTTAAAAAATTTTTTTTTTGAGGAAATAGTAAAAACGATAGTAAATTGTATGGAAATAGAGAACAATGGGTTTAGGAAAGATTAGAGCCTCTGGTGGTGGCGTCATGTAACTACAGTGCGTTAAAAAATCATCAGCGCCTCTAATGGTGGCGTCCTGTAAATTCAACACGTTGAGGAAACTTCAGGCGTCTTTATTAGTGGAGTTCAATAACTATATAGTACGTTGGGCAATCAACAGCGCCTCTCACGGTGGCGTCCTACAAGTTAGTCGTGTTGGAAAAACATTAGCATCTTTATTATAGTGGAGTTCAATAACTACAGTGGGTTGAAAAATCATCAGCGCTTTTAATAGTGGCGTTCTATGACTAAAATGCATAACAGCGCCTTATGCGGTAGCGTCCTATAACTTTTTTACGTTGGAAAAACTTCAGCGCCTCTTGTGGTAGCGTCATGTAACTACAGTGCGTTAAAAAATCATCAGCGCCTCTCGTGGTGGCGTCCTGTAACTTAACCATTAATATCACTAATGATTAATGAAATTATAAAATAATTCCTCAGAAATACCAGTGTAAATTCATTTGAATAAATTCCTAAATAGAAGTACAGAAATTTGTAAAATCTATAAAAATAATTTTACAGAAAGTACCAAAGAAATTTATATTTTTATATAATAAGAAAATAAAACTTATTTTTAAAGAAAAGTAAATGCAGTTTAAATTATAAACAAAGAGTTAATTAACGTTAGTCACGTTACATTTCTCGTATCAATTATTAAAGCTCGTAAATTACATATAGGAGTTCACCAATAAAGTATATATGCGATCAGAATCAAAGCAGTGGTATTGCCTCCAATGCACGGAAATGCTATTTAATGCCAGTTTTCCTGTTTAAGTATATATATACACCACGCGCAGGAAAAGTTAGTTTACTCAACGTTTAATTTATGCCGAGGAACATATAAATCAAAGATCATTAACGAATTAGCAAATCCCAGAGACAGATAAGTGATAAATCAATGAACGAATTATGCCACAATAATTCTTCTATGTCACGTCTGACGTGCGAATCTTCACTAACCAGTCTCTATTTTAATATACTTCAATAAAAGAAAAAACAGCAAAACTTTTTTTTTAAAACACTACCTCGTAAAAATGGGAAAATAAAATATTTTTTGAATGTCCTGTTTCAATTGTTTGAAAGTTAAAAATGGCATAAACTATAAAGAAGA